GGGAGAGAGACCCGAGGTCTTTTCTGAACTCGTTAATTGGGATCAAATACCTTGAAAGCATTGAGGTTTCAGTTGGGATTAAAGGGTCTCTCCTAGCCTCTCTGAACTACCAGTTGTGATGAATGTCACATGTCAGTTCTTCTCTCTTTCAACCAGGAGACATTAGTTAAAGGGAAAGGCACACACTGCACTTCTTCTGCAATATCTATTTCTCAGTTTCCCTTTCCTTGACCAAAGCAGATCGGGACGCAGTCGGTCCATGGTGTATGCCTGTATCCCTTGTGTAAAGCTCCATGATTCTAAACTTGTCCACTGGGATATTGTCCAGGCAGTTTGTCTGGGGGCGGGGGGAGCAGTGAACTTGCCTTTCATCCCTCTTTAGGATTGGTTTGTTGTGTTTTTTTTCTACTTCCTTCGCTGGGTCTTGTGAGGACTTGAGCCACTTGCCTCTAAGAGAGGTTAGAGTAATAAACAACTTAGCCAACACAAAAATGTTTCTAAAAAAGACCAATAAATCTTCCAGAACAAACAGTTTTTGTAAGAGAACATACTAAACAACTAGTGAAAGTGGTTCCATCATTGAAGACCTCCAGGGTGACTGAGTGCTGAGACAGGGAAGCGGCTCTTTCACAGCCCAGAATGGTTCCCAGGGCCCAGGCTGGGGCCAGGCTGGAGGTGCTGGGGCGAGAGCATTTCCGGCAGTGAATTCTTGGCTGCAATAGAGATGTGTGCAGAGGGGGAGAAGGGGAGAGTGAATGTTTGTGTGTGCAGTTTTCAGTTCTTCACCAACCTAAAACTTGGCAGTTCAAACCTACCTAGAGGTGCTGCATAAGAAAGTCCTGGCTATCTGCTGCCATAAAGATCAGAGGCAAGAAAACCCCATAGAACACACCTCTACCTTTCAACAAATGGAGTTGCTGTGAGTTTGACTTGACAGCAATGCGCTTGCTTGGTTTTTTGGTTCATACACACATATTCACTGGAAGCTCTGGTGGCCTATTAAGTAAGGAGTTGTGCTGCCGTCTCAAAGGCACATGGTTCAAATCCACGAGCTTCATGGGAAAAAGATGGACATTCTCCTCCTGTGTGATTCACAGCCTCTGAAAAGCTGCAGGAGAGTCAGCTATAAGTCAGTTCCAACTTAACAACACATAGTAACTGCACATGCACAGTTTTCTCCCACTTGCATGTCATCATTTGCAGGAATTGTCCTTGGCCTTTCTGCCTTGCTGAGGAGTGAGAGCATACGAGACACTATGCCAGCTACTTTACCTGTGTTTGCATCCTTGAGTCTTTGAAAAAAAAAAACCAAACTGAAAGATGGACACATATTTACTCCATTTTCAAATAAAGAAAGATAAATAAACAGGACTCAGAAGTGAAAGAACTTGCCAGAATCCCCAGAGCTTATAAGTGGGGAGTCTGGGGAGCTTCGCTGTGGAGCTCCACATTAAACTGCTTTGGGGGATGAGAGGTTACTGAGCACAGATATGTACACAACCATTTAGCTGTGGAAACGGGATCTAACAGAGTTTTGTCTATTAAGCAAAGGGCAAATCCAGGCACCTCATTCAGCTATTGACTGCTTCGGTTTAACTCACATGGGCCTCGGGCTGCCTGAATGGGAAAGCAACCAGGCAAAGACTGTGGGTCACACCACTAAGCAGAAGGTCAGCAGTTCAAACCTACCAGCTGCTCCACATGAGAAAGATGAGCAGTCTTCTCCCATAAAGATGTACAATCTCAGGAGCTTGGGGAGACAGGGATGGGGATGCAGTGGTCATCATGGGTTGGAAACACTCATGGGTTGGAAACACTCTGTGGCAGTAGGTTGGGCTTGGGGACTTTGGGTGGTCTGGGATGGCTGTCATTTGCTATTGTGTGTTTATTCTTTTTTTAAAAAAAATACATAATAGACAAGTTTTTAGAGAAGTTTTTGGTTTCCAGAGAATTGAGCAAATAGTGCGGGGAACAATATATCCCTCCTCAATCCCATAAAATTTCCTCTGTTATTAACATCTTGCATTTGTGTGGTGCATTGCATTTCATTAACTGAAGTTTATCTCTTACATTAAGGTTTACCCATCATGCTATTCTATAAATTCTTCACAGAATAATATGAATTTTGACATATACATATTGTTTAGTGTGTCCACTATTACAACAATATCATGAAAAAAGTTCCAGTGCCCAAAAATGCTTTGTGTTCTACCTTCTCATCTCTCCTCTCATTCCAAGCTCCTCTCGGTCTTTCACTGTCTCTATAGTTAGTTAGACTCTTCCCAAATGGAATAATACTAGAATCATACATCATCGAGTCTTCAACTGACTTTTTGACCAAGCAGTATGCATTCAAGGTTCTGCCTTGTCTTTCCATGATTTGATAGCTTTAAAAAAAATCACTGATTAATATTCCATTGTGTAGATGTACCACAGATTGTTAATCTATTTACCTTTCAAAGAATTTCTTGGTTGCTACCAATTCTTACCAATTCTTAATGAAGTTGTGATGTACTGGTTTGCTTTTAGAATTCGTTATCTCATATTACACGAGTACGGAGATCAACAGGGGCTCTTGTGGTGCAGTGTGTTGCAAGGTGGACTGCCAACTAGAAGGTTCGTGGTTTGAATCCAGCAGCTGCTCTGTGGGGGAAAAGATGAGACAGTTTCCTCATGTGAAGACTTACAGCTTCAGAACTCAATGCAGATTCAGAATTGTCTTAACAGTCATGCACTTGATTTGATTTTTTATATGAGGATGAAAGAGATGGTTGTTGTGTGTCATCGAATCACTTACAACTCGTAGCCACACTATGTACAAGAGCCCTAAACCCTGCTCTATCCTAAGCCAAGCTCACTGTCTCTGACACACCTACCCCCAAAGCCACAGTCACTGAATCAGTCCATCTCATCAAGGGTCTTCCTCTCCTGCACTGTCCCTCCATCCTCCCAAGCATGACTTCCCTCTCCAAGGACTGGTCCTTAAAATATGCCCAAAGTATGTCAGACAAAGCTTCAGAATCCTTGCCTCCAAGGAGCAGCCTGGTTTCACTCTCTCCAGGGCGAACCTGTTTGTTCTCCTAGCAGTCCATGTTATATCTATTACTTTTCTCCAGCATCACAGCTCAAACATTGCCTAGTTTTCTGATGTATAGCAAGTAATTGCCAGGAATAAATAATTTTTTATGTTTTATAAAGGTAGAAGTGAAGTTTTCTCGTAGTCATGAAAACAATGATTGGCCAAGCCAGCCACTGCCCTAACAGCTTCTCTCCATGACCTTGTGATGCAAGTGCTGTCATTACCCACATTTTATAGATGAGGGAACTGAGGCACAGAAGGATTCATGTCTAGCGAGTGGGGACAGAGATGTATTCAAGTTTATCTTTTTTACATTAGAACCTCATTTCAGTGGGCTAGACATTTTCCCAGTCCCAGAGAGGGCAGAGGCATACCCTAGTTACATCACAGGTCACTGACCCAGGGCCTGAAGGAAACAGAGAGAGAGAGAGAACACGTCTCTTTCTTAAAACATGTTTGTGATGAAAAACAGTCTTTGCCTTCTGGGCAGCTTCCTAAATCTGTTTGCTCTGAGAAATATAAAATATGTTTATGACTTGGGAAAAGTACAAGAAATCATGATGTGGAGAATGAGAAGACTAGCAAAAAAAATTGTTTTGAGCACATAACTTCTTACGGGTTTCTGTGTATGAGGTTTGTGCATTTTGTTGTTGTTAGGTGCCATGGAGTTGCTTACAACTTATAGTGACCCTATGTAAACAGCCCTAAATCCTGCTCTATCCTGTGCCAATCTCACTGTCTCTGACACACCTACCCCCATTACCTCAGTCACTGAATCAATCCATCTCATTGAGGGTCTTCCTCTCTTGTGCTGTCCCTCCACCCTTCCAAGTATGACATCCCTCTCCAAGGGCTGGTCCCTCCTTGCAACATGTCCAAAGTATGTCAGATGAAGCTTCAGAATCCTTGCCTCCAAGGAGCAACCCTGTTTCACCCTGTCCAGGACAAACCTGTTTGTTTCCTAGCAGTCCATGGTATAGTCAACACTCTTCTCCAGTACCACAGCTCAAAGGCATAAATTCTTTCTGTCATTGTCCAGCTTTCTGACGCATAGCATGCAATTGCAAAGACCATGACCTGAATCAGATGCACCTTAGTCTCCAGACTGCTCTTCAGTACTTTGGAGAGGTCTCTGACAGCAGACTTTCCCAATGCAATTTGTCTTTTAATTTTCTGGTTACTGGTACCAAGCATGTTGATTGTGGAGCCAAGCAAATGGAACCTGTTAACAGTCTCAATCTTTTCTCCATCTATCATGATGCTGCCAATGGGCCCAGTGATGAGAGTCTTTGCTATCTTGATGTTGAGCTTCAATCCATATTGGAGGCTGCAGTCCCTGACCTTCTGCAGCAAGCACTTCAGGTCCTCCTCAGTTTCAGCAAGCAGGGTTGTATCATCTGTGTAATGCAGATTGTTGATGAGTCTTACTCCAATCCTAATGTCACATTCCTCCTCATACAGCCCAGCCTCTTGGATAATCTGTTCTGCATATAAATTGGAAAGGTATGGAGATAGAACACATCCCTGGCACACATGCTTCCCAATTTTGAACCATGCCGTTTTTCCTTGCTCTCTTCTGACGACTGTCTCCTGGTCCAAGTATAGGTTTTGCATAGTATAATCATGTGTTCTGGGATTCTCATTCTTCTCAGTGTCAGCCACAGTTTGTTGTGATCTACACAGTCAAATGTCTTTGCATAGTCAGTGAAACACAGATAGACACTCCTCTGGTACTCTCTGCCTTCAGCCATGATCCATCTAACGTTGACTTTTTATTATGTGTGATTGGAAAGGAAACTAGGTCTAGGGGCATTGATTTCTCTAGGCTACGTCTCTCTTACAGGGGGTAGTACCATTTAGAAAACTTTCCTTCCCGGCAATTCTGATGTGTTTGGGTGATATTATGCTTCTGTATCTCCAGATAAGCCAGACCCCCCAGCTGGCACACCGTGCGCTTCTGATATCCGGAGCTCCTCGCTGACGCTGTCCTGGTACGGCTCCTCGTATGACGGCGGCAGTGCCGTGCAGTCCTACAGCGTGGAGATCTGGGACTCAGTGGACAAGCTGTGGAAGGATCTGGCCACATGCCGCAGCACCTCCTTTAATGTCCAGGACCTGCTGCCTGACCGCGAGTATAAATTCCGTGTGCGTGCCATCAACGTGTATGGGACCAGTGAGCCGAGCCAGGAGTCAGAACTCACAACAGTGGGAGAGAAGCCTGAGGGTAGGCTGCCTTTTTTTCGTCATTGGCTTGCAATTGCCTGGTTTGTGGTTTGTCTGCAGAAACCTGTATTGAGAGGGATACTGTGAGGAACTGAGAGGGTGCCAATGGTGATGATTTGATGGGATCTTTTAGGGTCTTGATTTCCAAGGTTCTCATGTTGATAGAAATCTATGTGACTTCCTCAAGAAGCATTGAACCTAAGTTTAGATACAGTGCACCAGATGGTGGTATGTTAAGGAGTCCCAGAAGGGGGAACTCTGGTAGACCTCGGGTTTCTTCATTCCCTCCTCCTTCCCTCACACTCATATTTGGGTGCCTTCTCAGTGCTGGGTACTTGAGATATAATGATGACAGATAAGACAAGGAACTTAAAATCTAAATAGGGCTCTCTTAGTTGGACCTCAGTGGAAATAATCTGGGAGAAGACTGGAAGGGCATGAACTAAAACCTCAGGAGATACAATTGGCTACATGAAGGTTTTTGGTAAGTTGAGGGGGAAAGCTGAAAGAGTCTAAACAGAGTTTCAAATTGGCTCAAAACAGTCCTGTCCTGGCCAGTGGCAACAAGGGCAGCATACCTGTTACAAAGCAACCAAATCTCTTGTGCTTTGAATTTTAACCCAAAGAGGAAAGTCTGCACAATCCTTTGGGCATGTTGCTAAGAGAAGCTATTCCTTGGAGAGGAACATCATGCTTGGAAAGGTAGGGAGGGAGTCAGCAGATGAGAGGAAGATGTATTGGCACAATGACTGCAGCAACGGGCTTCGGTATGTTAGAGATGATGAGTATGGCACAGGCTAGGCTAGGACTCAGATACGTTGTCTGCAGGATTGCGAAGAGTCATATGCAACTCAATGATGCCTAACAACCACAGAAAATGGGCAGGAGCTCTGGCAGTAACGTCTTTGAGGAAGTCTACTGCTCAAGTTGGTACTTCTCTGGTGTTCAAATTCACTAGCAGTCTTACTGGAGAAAGATGGGCAGTCTCCTCATGGGGAATTTACAACCATGGAAACCCAGTAGAGTCTTCTGTAAGTAAGCTGGTTCCAACTTGACAGCAATGAGGTTTTGAGTTTGAAGAAATAGGCAATGGTGCTTCACTCAAAGATGGTACCCAGCCCCACTGCTGTGTGATGCCCCCGTGTGTGTCCCGACCCAGTCAGCCATTAATCATGATGAATGTATATTGATGCTTTGCTATATGACAACAGTATATTGAACACTTTACATGCATTATTTCATCCCCTCCAAATAATTCAATGATATATAGATACTTTATTTTTTTTTAATTTAGGTTGTTTATTTTTCATTTCAATGAACATCTACAGAGATGTTGGGATTCCATTCATTCATTGTTGCACCCTTCTCCCCGCACAAACCCCTCCCCGCTTCCTTTTGCTCCTCTCCTTGAAAAGCAAAAGGAAAAACTCCCTCATTGGCACACAATCCCCCCCGCACCTCCCCAAACCCCATTTATTATTATTTTTTTTTATTTTATTATTTTGTGTGTATGAACCATCAAATTGGATCTGACTGGTACAGGAGGAGATTGCCCCTCCTTCTCCAGCAGAGCATCTGGACGATTTGAACTGGACACCTCTGGGATTGCAGTGCAGCTTCTTGCAATTAGGCCACCAGAGCTCCCTTGAAATAGATACTTTTATTACCCCCATTTTATGGACAGCTAAGTGTGGTTTAAAGGGGTGAAGCTATGTACTTGCCCAGTTTCTCAGAGCTTTCAAATGGCAAGTTCAAATCTTGACTCTGACTCTAAAGTCTGTGCTCTTTTTATTATTCAAAGATTTAAATCTTTTTAATATGCACTTTTTAATTGTGATTTGAGTGAAAAGCCTGTGCTCTTTACCAGTGGATGAGACTGAGAGAAGAGGCTGGGTTGCCCCATCCCACCCAGGCTCCTGCCAGAGCACCTTGGAAGGTAAATAGTAAGTCCAGGAGGACATAGGAGTTCTGACTTCAGACTTGCTGAGTTGAGATGTCCAAGGGATCCATGCAACAGAGGTGTCTTTCAGTGTGCTGAACAATTGAGTCTAGAGCTTAGGAAAAATATTTCAGCTAGTGCTACAGTGATGGGAGTCCTCACTATTTAAATAACAATGGACACCATGGGCATTGATGAGATTATTAGAGAAAGTTATTAAGACTAAATACACATTGTTGCTGTGTACAGTCATAGCTGACCCTCCAGTGGGTTTTCAGAGGCAGTTAATCACACAGGAGGAGATTGTCCATCCTTCTCCTACAGAGCAGCTGGTGGATTTAAACCACATGTCTTTGGGATTGCACCTCCTCTGTTAACTTCAGGAGAGGAAAGAGAGAAGAATCATCATTAACATCAGCCCAAGGCAGATTCCTATGAAAAAGAAGTGAAACAACCTTCAACCTCCAACATTTTTGCCAAATCTGACACCAGCCCTCCCTCTCACAACACTCTATTTCTCTGATGGATTTGATAATTTATTTCAAGGGCTCATAGAAAATATTCAAAACTGTGGGCTTATTAAGAAAGTTGTAGGTTACAGTTCAGGACCAGGACAGGTCCTGCTCAGCAGTACCCGCTGTAAACCTCCCTCTGATCCTTGGCCTCTTGGCCTTGCTTCACCTTGCTTGAACAAGGATAACTAAAATCTTTAGCTCTGCCAATAAGTGTCTAGAAGCACCTCACCCTCCCAGTCAGGCCTTCTGCCCTAAGGCACTCAACTCTCTCTGTGGGTCACTACACTCACTGTAGCCACCTTCCTCCAAGGTCTCTCTTTCTCTGCATCTCATATCATTGCTTCTTACTTTCTTGTGCCATCTTGGTGTTACAGGTCTTTCTGTCTGCAGTGTCTAGGAGGTTCTTAGCATGAGGACCCTTGGTCCAAAGGATGAGACCACTCCTGGTTCATTCTTAATGGTAGTGAAGTCTCCCTTCCAGTTTGGGATTGGCTCTCTTTTAAGCTTAATAACACGGTAAAAATGACCAATTCTTTCTTTAGAGTTTAATACACCTTATTTGCATTCTTAGCTGTTTGTGAATCATAAATACCTTATTTCCTTAGCCCTACCCAATCATTCTGTGAGAGTCACAAAGGCTGTAGTTAGAATGACCATATTAAGTAATTCACTGCATCACAAGGACAGGTCCCTAAATAAAGGAGCCTGTGAGGCCCAGATAAAGGACAGAGAGGGAAGACAGAAATTTGTTGCACAAACAGGGGAAAGTTGCACAGAGGACTCAATAAATAGCACAAAATGCTAAAGAGGAATAATGAGTACTCTGAAAAGATTGGTGTTAGATTTAGCCCTTTACTTGGTAGTGATCTTTTGAGGCAAATTCCCTGGAGTTATTCACAAGGTGGAAAAGTTAGTTATTAAGGAATGAATGGAAGAAAGAAAATCCAAGAGTGTTGAAAACTCTTTCAAGAAGTTTCATGTGTAGAGAAGAAAGGGGATTCTATTCATTTAAGGTGGAGGAAAGGGAGGGACATGAAGGGATGCCAAGGGAAAGGAACTGACAGAGGGATTGCTTAGAAGTGTGAGAGAGGTTTGTGGGGAGACGGAGGTACTGAAGGGACCCAAGGAAGAAGCTGGGCCTGAGATCATTATGTAACTTGAAGCATCATGAGTATAAAACCATAATTACAATTTAATCACCTTTTCTAAAAATTAGATATATATTAAGAGAAAGACTATACAATAAGAGGATAAGCAGCACAGTATCACTGAAGAACAGGGAGGCACTGAAAGCTATAGAAAAAATTAGTGGCAATCTAAAATTAGAAGGAGGAAAGGAGAAATGTGTCATTACCTTGTGGATATGGAAATGAGTATTATCAAACAATATATGTATGGGGGTTGGATTTAAAAATATTTTATTAGTGAACTTTCATTCAAATCACAATTTAAAATAGTTTTTTTAAAATATAGATATTAGGAGATGTTAAAAACTCTACTTTTAAATAAAATGAGGACTCCAGAAAGTCAAGAGTATAGCAGTCCAAAACATACCAGATTTGCAGTTTTACCCAAATGGATGTCCTGAGGGGCCCCTAAACACTCACAGTGAGCGGGTCTCCTGAGTGCTAGAGAGTCAGGAAGTGTCCATCCCAGATTTGGGAAAGGCCAGGGACACAGGACACCGGGAGACCAGCTGCTCAAAAGCTGCTATTCAGTGAAACAGTAACCAAACTCACTCCCCACTCCCCTTTGATATCCCCCCACCCCATGATCCCCTCTGAAGTGAGCATAGGGGAACAGGCCGGTTAGAGGCCGGATGCCAGGCGGCACAGCCAAGTTGCAATCTGTAGTTTCTAGGATATCACTTTGTTAAGAAAGAAGATTCCCCACCTCTTAGAAAACTAACAGGGAAAAGGGATCACATTGCAGTGAGAAGTCTGCAGCTAGAAGGAAGAGCTTCCCAGTCTGTAGCAGGGCTGAGGCAGGACCCTCAAAAGTTGCGTTTTGGCTCCTGTGAGGCCAGGACTGCTGCAGGGCTTAGGCAGGTGGCCTCCCCCTCCTCCGCTGCAGCCAGCTGAACTCCCCCTGTGGTCCTGGCCTCTCCTCGCTCCAGTGCCTTTCCACTGTGAGTAGCAGGCAGGGAAATGTTGCAATCCTTGAGAGCCAGAGGAAGGGTCCAGGCCACCCAGAGCTTTCAGACAGGAAGCTGTTTCTGTTCCCTCGGCGGCGGTTAGGTTGTCCGAGGGAGCGGGATAGGGAGGAGGGCCAGACCATTGGCAAGAAGTAAGCCCCAAAAGCAGAGGACAATTGAGGTCGAGAGTTCCAAGCAAAAGTCTTCTGCTGACTGATTAGATACCTAACTAATTATGTGTAGTTGATACATACTGGACAAGTCACTTCTCTAATTTTAAAGGGAAATGGTTCTCAGAGAAAGGTAGGTTGTGTGTGTGTGAGGTCTGATAAGGGTAGAAAAGAAGGGTCAGATAGGAGCTAGAGTAGAACATTTATTGGAGCCAGTAGGTTGTAAGACTCACCAAACAAGGT